AAGGTTACCTGTTGCAACTGTATTGCCCCAACGAGCTTCTTTAGTAAGTTGGTAGTCCTGATCATGAATCTGAAGGAATTTTGAGCCTATTTTGCCCACCCCATTCAGGTGGTAGGTGCATTTTGAGCATTTCCATCAGTCTTGAGAGTTTCATCGTTCCACCTTGAATATTACGGAAGATATGGGGGTGTTTCCATGAGAAGTGAGACATACGTTGGTTGCCTTTTATATTTCGGGATAAGAAAACAAATATTAATCATCGAAAATCACTTTATTGTTTTTCAAAATATTCCCCATGAAAATCTATACACTTTTGCATGCGTTTGAACCAATTGTCGAAGCACTTTTGCCACTCTGATTGAGGCATTTCCAAAACATGCATCACAAATAGCGCGCATATGTCAAAACGGTCTGAGTACGTATAAGCTCAAAAATGTCCAACTTTACGATAGAGCTGTCAGTTGTCAGATTGCAACACCAGGGTTGCCAAATCCCGAAACTTAAAAGGCAACCTATCGTATACATTTCGGGACGGGAACAATTTCAAAATTTCGGGGAGGATAATATTTATGGGGACTAATTTTTATTTTCAACTATTCTTTTTTAATTATTCTTTTTTACTTGTTTCAGGGATTTCGAATCATTTTATATAGTAGACAATGGAAGTCCGAACTAGTGACATTGAAAAAATAAGCATTGCTTTTTAGCAAAAAAATAGTGTTGATGCCTAGGCTTCGCTTGAAAACTATATAGTTCAATTTTTTATAGTTTGTGAGTTAATGCCAAAACATGAAATTACAAATCTGAACTGCATAAAGAGTATTTGTTTCAGTGACGAATGCACTTTTTTCTCAAACGGAAATGTCAACCGCCAAAATGTGCGATATTGGTCAGAAACAGTTTTCGAAAAGGTCAGACTCACCTCAGAAAATAAATGTCTGGGCAGGAATATTGGGAAATTATATTGTTGGTGTCATACATTAAGAGACCTCATTCATCTACGGATTCAAGAAATTGTGGCCAACACCCAAGATGAATTCAAAAATCTTGTTGTTTTCTAACAAGACAGTGCTCTTTCACATCTATTTAGGGATTCGTTGGGTCAGACATGTCCAGTCATGTGGATTAGTAGGCATGGTCCGTCGGAATGGCCTGCTCGTTCACCGGATTTGACCCCTCTCGTTTTTTTTCTTTGGGGCTATGTCAAATCGAAAATTTGTGTTCCGCAACTTAGAGGCAAAATTACCGAAATTCAGCAAAACTCAGTACCTAACTGGTTATCAGATTCCAACAAATAGAAGTGATGGCATAGAAAATTGAAATACGAAATATCACAAGACACCCCCATTCCAGACTATTGGATTTTTCATTAAAAAGTACTAAACATGAATCGTTTTCACAAACATTTTGTCCGATTGTAATGTTCGATAAAATGTTAAACTAGTTTGTCAAATGGAAAAACACAAAAACAACTTAATGATGGCCTTCCAGAAGCCTTCAACTGGTAGATATGGCATACGATTTTGAAATCATTACACTACCATTAACAAAATGATATATTACGTGCATCTAATTACCCTTTGGGTCCACGTCTTTAAGAAAACTTCTTACGCAAGGCCGGTTCTTGAATACATAATGATATTCTCATGGCAATGTTTCGATTAATTTTTTAGGGTCCGTTTTAAGTTCAAGGTATTCTTCAAGTCTACAAGTCCAAAAATACTCATCATTGATGACAACAACTTAACTTGAAACCGATTGTTTTTTTTAATAAACTATATATAGTGTGACCCTCGTACGGCCAATGAGGA